TTAAGATTTCAGCGTTCTAGCTTCTCAGATCCCTGAGTTGTGAACATACCTTAAAAAAACTTTAGCGGGCGCATACGCGGGTACCGCGCGGGTGATGGCGCCAATTTTGGAAATTGGAGCCGACACGTGCATGTAGATTAAGTTCTCGAAATTTTAGCCCTGCAACTTTTATAGGTCTTGAAATGAAAGTGCGTGACAGACGCACACACAAACCCACAAACGCACAGACACACGAACACACAGACAACCCCTCATCAATATGTGTTTCTGCGTTGCATAGCTGCAAAAAAACGCATAATTATTTGGATCGCATGCTTAAATTTTCTGCATCGTGAAGTTTCTGTTTGTGCGTTTTGTTTTATGAGTCACTGCAACGCGCCGCGACACACAAATACCCCTATGGAGCCAAGTGCATTCCAATGTGCCTTAATTAGATTGCAGTTTGGACGGAGTATTATCCGGTAACGGTTTTGGTTAACAGTCCAATGGATATCCGAAACGAGCGGATTTTGAAACAGTTTGAAGCGATGGTCCATGAGTTCGAGTCTCTCGACAAATGCAGAGGTAATCCAAGGATACTAGCAGCAATGAATCAAATGGCACTGGGTTTGTAAAAACTTTTCTTGTGAATTCAGGCAAAGAATTCACACTTCTTTGGTTACGAGAATACCAAACCTACTGGCAAGAAGTGTCGCTTTATGACTTCGACTATTTTACGGATGAAGCGATGACGACGACACCGAAACTGAGCGTGAAGAATGGGAAGGAAACGATCGATTACAGCAAACTGAACGATTTCCTCTTTTCGCCTCTTCACAAACACTGGAAAAATTTTCTGAAACTAAGGTAATCAGCTGGTCTTTGTTTGAATTTAATTCATCCAACTGCATTTTTGCGAATACATTAATTTTGCCTTGGTTTGTCAAGCATTTTAAATTGTTTTCAATTAAGTTTACCTCTATAGTCCACATACCCGGTGCGTTGATTTATTTGGTTTAGTTTTTACTCGCACAAAAAAACTTTCGCCATTATTGGTCCCAAGACATTATTATCCTGGATATGCGATAAAGCAGGGTGCAAAATTTTGTTCATCGTCCTTCTGTGTGTTGTTTCTGTGATCTAGAGTACGCAGTTATCGTTCTGTTTTTAAACTTTATCCATTTGATTTTTTCAGAAATGACTCGGATCTTCCAGTCGAAAGGTTTTCGTTCCTAGTAGTATATCAAAACACGACCAGTTGGACGGAACGCATTGAACTGATGCAGAAATGGAGAAGTATTGCACATAGCTACAGCGATCTCAACGCATCCGTTTGGGAGGCTAACTCGATGTTTGTGGATCAGATGCTCTCACTCAAGACACTAGCTATGCAGGCTAGTTAAAAACTTTCCTCAATGGTGATCATTGCGCTGTGATATGTAGTGTTGCTTTTGTGCTGAAGGTTGCGATTCGACTTTGTCATTGGGATTTCCCTTACAGTTAATTCATTCGTTTCGATGGTAAATTGGTACTGGCGTATACCAGGAAATCAGATCCGCTATTAGCTTGCTTTTAAGTAACTTTCAGAAAAGAGAGTTGTCGCCAGCTTTGCTAGTGGAAAAGAGAGCCACCGCCAGTTTTGCCTACTGTTTGACATGTATTAACACTTGTGTTACTTAAGTGCTTTTGCATTTAGCAGGGAATGAGTACTTAAAAAACTTTGACTATTGACAGTGAAGTGGGCATGAATGTGCATGATGTGATGGCCTGCATGGCTCGGAATTATATCACTGAAACATCTTGGGTATGAAGCTGAATGCAGAATTGTTATTCGTTTTGATGACATGCTAGAGTTAACCTATACTTACACCGAATAAGTATTTTTGGAAAATAGTTACTGACTGACAGCCAACTTCGCTTCTTCGTCGATGGTAAGCTCCAGGATTTGCGAAAAATGACACTTTTTAGACATGCATATGGACAATGGCATGCATGACGGCAGTATGCGCGCTATTCATCCAGAATCCTTTCAGTGTTCTAATCGCTTCCCTGACCATTGCTTCAATCAGTTTTGGTAAGTCGATTTAAGCAGTAATAGACAATAATAATAAACAATAACAAAAAACAAAAATAAACAGTGCTAATAAGCAAAAACAAAAAACAGCAAGAAATAGTGATCACCGACAATAAGTAACAGTAAGCAACAGTAATAAACAGCTGTAACAATAAACAGTCATAATTATGAACAATTATAGTAGTAAACAATTATAATAAACACCAATAATAATCAATAATGAGAAACAATAACAACAATGATAACCGGCAATAATTTTTAATGAACAGTAACAATAAACTTAGTCGAAAGCGTGCCGACTGCCGGTACGAGGATGCGTTTTTCGCACAATTCCCCCACAGGTTTTTTTCGCCAGTGGCACGCTCTTCCCGGCAGATGCTTCGAGCTAAAAGAACTGTGACTGGCCACCACGACGGTTGGAAATTATTACAATCGCTCCCAATCCATGCCCAAAAAATTCAGCGCTGTGGATGCATCGGTTGCGGAGGTACGCCAAATTTCACGTGCTCGTGCGTGAGTGGCAACGTGAGTGTTTTTTTTTGTTTGCGGCTACTTAGAGACGGCCCTAGGTAGTGCTCAAAAAGTTTCGGTACTCAAGCTGCTCTGGTTGCAGAGTTACGTCAGATTTCACGTGTTCATATGTGAGTGGCAACGTGAGTGTTTTCCTCGCCCGCGGTTGGTCAAACACGGCCCCGCGTAGCGCTCAGAAAGTTTCAGCACTCCAGCTGCTCTGGCTGCAGAGTTGCGTCAAGTTTCACGTGCTCGTACGTGAGTGTCAACGTGAGTGCTTTCTTCGTTCGCGATTACTCAAACACGGCCCTGGGTAATCCTCAGAAAGTTTCAGCACTCCAGCTGCTGTAGTTGCGGAGTTACGTCAAATTTCACATGCCTACACGTGAAACGTACGTGAGACGTGAAAGTGATATGTAAGTCGCTTTTGCGTGCATCTGGTGAAAGGAGACCATCAGTTTTGCTGAAGTAACGCTGTAGAATTGCAGCTCTCTGCAGCTTATTGATCACCTTAAATTTGAAGTTGGCATGATGCCAGTTTAAA